GGGGGGAAATGTCAATGTCTATAGATTTTTTATTTTTAGCATTGGCTCGCTTTGCTTCAATAGGGTGAGCGCCTCTCCTCATGCCAAATGTCATAGAAAATAGGAGAGCCTCGGCACGCCCGTGAACTTTTTCAATCACTGATACTTACTATATTCTCTGTTGTCGTGAAGTTAGATATTGGTCTTTTGCAGATATGTAAAGACAAAGATGCTAAACCTCAGATCTGGGAGCATGTACCACCATTAAAAGGGTAAGACTTTATAATCTGTGTTTTTTATCTCACACAGTAGAAAGTCTTGGTACTTGCTGCTTGCTGCTTGCTGTTTGTCATTTCTTATTATTCATGCATAATCTGGATGTCATTCACTGGAAATGTTCACTTTTATCTTTTCATGAAACAGATAGTGTACATTACTGCAGAAATGTGTTTCCTCGTTCCCACTGAACATTGCCTATATCCACTTAATGAATAGATCAACAGTGAAGAGAACGGTTCTTTTATCTTTGTTCCAACCCATGATTACGACTTGCTAACCTCACCTATATTTCACTCTGACCTGTTGCAATGTTTCAGTTGGATCCAACTTTTGGCATTATGAGTAAAATGTGGATATCTGAAATTCATATTCTTCTTATGCTCTGTTCATGTTCTAGACAACGTATCTATCATTCAATTGTCTATATTTTGTTTTTCAGGGCCTTTATAGTTAATCTTGGTGATATGCTGGAACGCTGGAGCAACTGCATGTTCAGGTATTCTTACATTTATATAGAAGAACGGCAATCCGTTAGCAAGGTTCATACCCGTTGAAAACTGTAAAGTGGATACTAAGTAAAGGGAATTACTGACTTTCGACTTGGTTCTTCCTGGCACCCTCAAACCCATAACCTAACTTCTCAAGAGTTTGGGCTCTCTGTCACCGGGTCTCCTAGGTCCCACTCATGGCCCAGATTACCCCGTCAACTACTAAACCCAAGCTTTTTCTTCCACCCTCAGCCCAATTTTTTTACCCTCCATCTGCACAAAACCCAACTCACCCCCTCACCTCAAGACAATCCCCAGGCCAACAACTACTTTGGAAAATCTACATCATCAGCCCAATTGGATGCCTTCTCTCACTAATATCCACCCCATTCAAATTACCTATTATTTCCCTCCCTTAGCCCCTTGACCACTTCAGCCCATACAACAAAATTTAGGGCGTGCTTGCATACAAATATATCCTCTCAAAACGAGTTTTTTTGGTTATCCGGGATTTAATTTTGAAAAATGCGGTATGGTTAGTTGTTATTGGGATTTTGAGTATATATTAAAATAATATTTAAAATAAAATAATTAAAGTTATTTCGATGTAAAAGTAGGAGAGAGAAATGTGAAGTGATAGTTAGTTAAAATTATGTGAGTGGATAAATAGTGAAATAAAGTTGATATGATCTTTAAGAATGTGATTGATATTATATTGATAATATTGAGGATAATAAGGTTGGATTAAAGTTGAGTTAGATTTTGAGTATGAATTGAATATGGGTTGAGTTATTTTATAAACAAACACTCCCTTAACCCCTAGCTCAATGAACAACCTAAGCCGCCCCTTTCCCAGTCCTCCAATTTTAAACTCTGCCCAACATACTTTTCAGCCTGACCCAACCATGCCGAACTTGGCCCCAACTTGCTGCCAACCTGGTCCTTGCCCTGGCACCGGTCAGCCCAGCCCCGTCCAAAAACTCACTAACTTGGCCCCAACTTACTTCAGAGTACGTACTTTCATCTAAACATGATTAATATGGGGACCTTGATATTATCTTTGGTATGTGTTGATTGACTTAATTATCGAGCGGGTGTCGATTTCCAGGAGAGACTAACATTGGATTCCCTGTGAATGAGGAACCTTATGAAGAGTTAGTAGTGGATACTAGGATGAAGGACCCTTTACCGACTTTCCAGTTGGATCTTACTACCATGAACTTGTGATTCTATTTTTAATCATGTGTCCTTTGCATAAAATGTTGCACCATTGCATCCAGCTGACCGTGTTCTTGTCAAAATCCATGTGCATGATAATCTCTACAGATCTACGCTTCATCGAGTATTGGGCAATGGCTCGGAAAGATACTCTGTAAGAATTTCTAAAGCTTTTACAATGCTTTCAGAAAGATTATACTTTTCATGCAATATCTCAATTTTTAATTTGTGCAATTCCTTTGGTTCTCTGATAAATTTGTGATAAACCATCCATGTAAATGAACAAAAAGAATGAAAATACTGTTGAAGGGCTATTAATGACAGAAAAAAACTACAGCAGAACCTCTATTAGTTAACTACCATGATACAGTTCCGTGAGTTCACTTTATAAATGCTATCATCTATGATATTGGAATTATGTGGTCCCGAGGCTTTTAATTTATTATGACTTTTACTATAGTTTATATTATGACCCATTAGACCCAGAACTGATGACAAGACGGAGATTACATGAGAGGCTCTAAGCCACATCAATCTTCAGTTTGTTTGACTTAGTATCAGACAAGGGAATCTTTACAACCAATGAACTTGTTATTGCTCCCCATTCACCATTCGTTTGATGGGAGTTGAACTATGTCCAAGTTTGTAAATTGTTTGTTCTTCCCATCAACAATATGATTAGAACTTAGTCAAAGAAAACAGTTATTAGTTTAATGGTAGAAGGTTGATTTTCTGAGAGGACCAAGCTTTATCTATAGGGTAATATTGATTATGTATACAACCTTTTACGGTAGAAAGGTTACATATTTTTGTACCCCTATTGCTCGTTGAACTCATTGGCAGATACGCGAGGACTAATTCTCAATGCATGTTGTTTGTTGGACCAGATAGCATTCTTTGTTGAGCCGAGTCATGATTGCATTGTTGAATGCCTCCCGACTTGCCAGTCAGACAAGAACCCTCCGAAGTGAGTACATAGATGATTAAGCTGCATTTGGATTTCTGAAATTACTCTCTCTCTCTCTCTCTCTCTCTCTCTCTGTCTGTCTCTCTCTCTCTGAAACCCTCGACTTGTATGTATTTCATGTGGCGCTGTAGCCATGTTCTAGCCATTAAAATATTTCACAAAGTCGAAGTATCTAAATGAAATGACATGTAAAGCTGTTTCTTCAAATCTTTTTTGAATATATGCACTTTGAACCCTTTACAGGTATCCCCCAATCAAATGCAAAGATTACCTGCGTCAGAGATATAAGGAGACTCACGCTGACCTCACTTCCTACAAATAGTGAAGATACTATGCATGCCACTTAAGTTTGTGAAAGCTTCTGACGATCAAGATAATGCCATCCGAAAGTTGTTCATTTACCACCACTCACCTGTATGTTCATGTCTTAATGGTCCGTTTGTAGTTTCTACAGTCGAAAATTTGAAGTTTTAATTCTACTGTTTTTCATGTGAATATTTGAATTACGTTTCGGATGATAAATAAGATTTATTTATCCATTTTTCTACAGTAGAATGACTGATTGATTGCACGTATTTTGAATAGGACCATAATACAATTTCATAGTAATTTTATTTTAATTATAATTATAATTTTATATTGACAGAATTTAAAAAAAAAATGTTTTCATTATAATTATAAAAATTAATTTGATTAATTTAATTATTATTTCATGGTTGTAGATATGAATTAAGTTCATAAACCAAAAGCACTTAATACATATAATAAGATAATTAAAATAATTATGTTTGAACTATATAGCTTAATGAATAATTTAAAATACTGATAAATTTTTATAGAATGTATTCAACTTAACCGTGAATAAATTAAATGCCACTTGAGTATATCTTTTGTATTAATAATTCTACTTAAAAATTAAATAATATATTAATAAATTATCTTTTGATGGTCGGTGAAATTAAGAATTATAAATTTTACATTGAAATATTTATATACATAGAAAACACTATCAAGGTGTTTTTTTTCCAAACGAGAATATTATAAATCAAAACGAATAACTGTGCAAAGTTACAGTTCCTAGCTGAATAATACAATCAACAGCTGAAAACTTGGGAGGACAGGTTAAAAGACCGCCTATATCCGAAACTAGCAACACTAGAAACCAAAAGACAAGAATCACGACACGACAGGACAAACAAAACAAACGCTAAAAAACTACAAAGATCTCAGTAAGAGAATAGACGATCTCAAAGGGATAATACTCGCTCACAGTCGGGATCACATAGGCCAACGACCCAGACCCCTAGCAACACAAGCACAAACGACACAAAACCAAAGTAAAACATAAGAACCTAAACAACTAACAAACAACGCCATTCCACAGCAGAAAGATTGAGTCGAACCAGCAGATGAACTATCCAATTTAGGGAGAGATCCAAAGGCCAGGAATTGCAACCGAAACTGCCTAACCGCCTAGCTGAAGCCAATACCAAGCCTAGAACCAAACCCGAGAAACAATTCGTCCCAGCCGGAGGAAGCGAACACCCCTCACCCGGCTAACACCACTAGCCTAGACCAGCACAACCCCACTCTACTAACACCACTAGCCGAGTACAGACGCGTCGGTTCCACTGGACCCCACAAAAGAGAACCGAAGAGAGAAGAGCTGATTGGCTCCTCCACTCCGACCTCTCTGATGCGAAGCGCCACGAACCACCGAGTCTCGCCCCACCCCTTAACCCGCACGCCACCCAACATCGATGCAACTCAGGGAATCCATCGACAGGAATCCACGAGGCCTCGCCAGGAGAAGAAAAGGTTGTCCGAATCCGCCATCGCAGAGGACCTCGGGAGGCGCATAACGACAGAGAGAGGGATGAGCGACCGAGGGTGACCACTGGCCGAGCCCTGATTTCGCCAAGGAAGACTAACTGAAAGTGAAAAAGGTGGAGACGAAGCCGACGATTTTGGGGAGAAGGGTTTAGAATTTGGGGAAAAAGAAATACTATTCAAGGTTTTAAAAAGTAAAATTTTTATTATATGTAAATAAAATTATATGGTCAAGTATTAATTGAAATTATAGCATTCGGTAGTTATTGAAATTCATATATCAAAATGCTTAAACTGTTTTTTTTTTTTCAAAACGATAGAGATATTATATAAAAGCGCACAAATATGCAAAAGTACATCCTCTAACTGAATATAACAGCCAACGACTGAATAAGCTGGGAGGACAGGTCAAAGACCGTCTACAACCGACCCCAATAGGGTAATACTTAAACACAACACAAAAAAACACACAACCTAAACAACAACCCAACAGGGTAATGCCCGAGTGTACGATCCCAACAGGATAATAAGTTCACACTCGGGCGTACAGAGGCCCACGGGCAAAACCTAAAACACAAGACCTAAATAATGCAAGCACCAACGACACAAAACGTACGAAGAGAAAGCAACAAACAAAAGACTAAGAAAACTAAAACTAAAATGAGTCCTCCCTCAGCAAAGAGACCGAACTGAACCAGTGGACATAAATCGACTTCAAGGAGAAGTCCGAAGATCGAGGACCACACCCGCCACTGTCGAATGCCTAGCAAGACGTAGTCTCAGTCCCCAAAGAAAACCAAAAGCCGACCCGCTCTCCAGCCGAAAGAAACCGAAATTGACCCACGAGCCACTGCTGTCCGGAACTCGGCTAACACCACTAGCCTGTTCCAGAACACCGGTCCTCCCTCGGACTCAACACCAGAGATCCAGGGAGAAGGGCTCAAGGTCGGCAACAATGCTCCAGCCACACTGAAACCACCGGAGCAAACCACGGACGCTCCTCTCGGCCCCTAGAAACAGACCACAACCTAGCTCTGCCGCAGCACAAAGACGCCGATGACCCAAGAACACACGAGGGCACCCGCGAGCAACGACAAAACCTGAAACGAAGTCAACTGGAAAGCAGAAGAGAGAAGACATCTCGAGCCACACCCAATCACCGCTGCCAGGGGCGGATCTAGAAAATTTAATTAGGGAGGACTAAATAATTTTCGATAACGACATACTTCATTAAAAAGACAAAGTTGTATTTCTAGAATAGAAAAGAAAAAAAGTAGTTCAAGAAAATACATAACGTTCAAACTTTGAGACTGTTAGAATTGTGCTCGAGGTTATCTCAAGTCACGAAACTCATCGATGATTGACTCGATAGTAATAAATCTTGCAATTTCCCTTTTAACAAAGATAGTAAACGAATTTACGAAAAAGCCGTCTTCTATTTTACTTACGAAAAAGCCATCTTCTATTTTACTTCGAAATATAGATGTAAGTTATTAAAATAGTTTGATTAGTTTTATTAATAAGGAAATAATATAATACAACACAATAAATGGTGGAAGTTAAATGGGCTTTATGAGTTATCTTTTAAATATATGGGTCTTGGCTTGTCTTAGCCCACCTAAACAAAGTCAATATATCATTAGTTAATTGGTTAATGGAGGACAATAATAACTGAATATATAAATTATATACATACTTAAGTAAAAAAAACTAAAAGCTTGGGGGGGACAGTGGTCCCCCCTACAATATATCTCCATCTGCCCCTGGTCCGCTGTCGCACCCCTCCCAGCCCCTCCGCCCAAGAACGCTGCCAGAGCACGAACCGAAACTGATAAATTGGAAGAATCGAAGCCTGAGCAGATCCACGAGCAGAGAAAGAGAAGACGCACCACAAGTCGAGCCATGGGTGTGCGGCTAAGAGCAGTCCACCGGCAAGCCTGTCCGTCACTGAGAGAAGTACAATTCCGATTATGTTAGGAGGTGGGCGGAGGGAATTGGGGGAGAAGTGTTTCTTATATTGTAGTGGTGTATTTTTGCCAAGAAACCCTCAAATTGTTTATTAATCAAATTATTATTTAAGTTGTAGAAACATAACTTAAATAAATAAATATAGACAACAAAACATTTAAATTCAAAATAAAATATTTACAATTTGTGTTTCACAAGAGATAAAAGTTGCTAACAAAATTAAAAGTTAATTATCATAAGTTAGTATTTCATGAAATTAGAGTTATTGTAGAGAAAAATTAATTTTATGGATATAACTTTGGTCAGTTATCGAGCAATATGTAAAATATGAATTGCTATTAACGCTATAAGATTAATATAATCGATAATTACATGAGTACATGCAAGTAATTTGTAAACAATTATTATATTTTAAATATTTCACTTTTATAATATTTTATAAACTAATAATTAATAAAATTCATACCTACAGAAAGGAAAATGAAAGATTAATATTATATTATTACAAACTTGATATGTTGTATCCAATAGAATTGAAATATTATCTTAAATATTTGATATAAAAATATTTGTTGTAATATGTCCATTGCACGAGTTGCAACACTATAATATGATCTTTATATTACACTATAAAAATGTTTGTTAACTATTTACAAAACTGATAATATAATCTTTGGTTCAACACTATAAATCATGTTGTACCTAAAAATACCCTATCATGGAAATTTCCAAAGGATGAAAGCCCAGACATGTTAAACAAGGCCCACTAAGCACATCATCACTTTTGCCAATGGCCCAAGACTGCAGAAGTAAGGTTATCGATCTCCCGATCGGCCAACCAATCGCCCTCAGGGTCTTCCAGAAAAAGTTTGTCAATCACCCGCAAGTATGAATTCTGAACTTTAAAGCTGATGGCAATGTCTCATCTATCCCATCAAACTCTTCATGGATACATGTGGCGCACCCTGCGCCCCTAGCTGGTACTGTTTGTCCCATTTTTGTTGTTATTTTCGTTGCTATTTTGTGTGTTGCTTTCCCCCGTTTTAGGTCTTTTGTTAGGATTTTCCGGTCCTTTTTGGTCATTCTCGAGTTTTTAGTATTTTTCGTTGTGTTTAGCATTTTCGTTGTTATTTCTTCTATTTTCTCTTGCTTTTGTGTCTGTTCGATGGTGGTGTTTTCAGGTCTCCAGGAGTTCTGTGTCGTTTGCGAGATTGGAGCATTCGAGGATTGAGTTTCCAGCTCGAGATAAACCCGAGGGACGCTAGCCGAGACCACGTGAGCCCAAGTCGAGGAATTTTTGGAGCAGTCCAGGCCATAGCGCCGCTATGACCATAGCGCCGCTATGGCCTGTTGAGAAAGCGGCGCTGGACACCAAAGCGAGGGGCAGAAGAGCAGTCCAGGCCATAGCGCCGCTATGGCCTGTTGAGAAAGTTGCGGTTTGCTGTATAGCGATGGGCTGCAGGTCGGGGTATTCCAGCCATAGCGGCGCTATGACCATAGCGCCGCTTTCCCCTGCTCGTAACC